GAGGGGAAATCTCATTTATGTTAATTAGCTTGGAAAAATCAGGGGATGGTAATAAAGAGATGAAGGGACTGAACAGACGGACAGAGGAACATATAAAAGGATAAACACTGTCTGCTCCTCCTAGCTGCTGGACTAGCAGTACATAACACCCAATCTGGTCATACTTGGTGTTAAATGTAGGTTGTAGTGCATCTTATACCTACTTCTTCTTTCTCTCTATGTCCTTTTAGGTATATACAAGCAGCCACATCTCCTAAAGATGTAGTAATCGTCGTGGATGTCAGTGGCAGCATGAAGGGACTCAGACTGACAATAGCCAAGCACACCATTAATACAATCTTGGACACCCTGGGAGAAAATGACTTTGTTAACATCATAGCTGTAAGTATATGCGCAAACAGTCATGCAAAAGACAAATGCAATGAGCATTTGTCTAAGTCTGGATGAGCGTGACATAGAGATTAAAGCCCAAACACACAAATGCACTGGAACTAATGCACAGGTCCACATGGAGGTACATATGCACACACACATGCAAACAGATCCAAATTTAAAATTTGGTTCATGCCAGGCATAAATTTTCAGTAACATCAAAGCTTCTAAATTTGTTTTCTTTTTAGGTTTTTGGGGGGGATTTTGGCTGTGTGTAACCCTACAACTACAAATTTGTGTAATAAGCATGGTTTATCCTGGTATTACTGCGTGTGTAATCATACGCCTCCTGCAAATCCTCTGCTTTTAAGCTGTATTTTTACCAGAATTTAAAGCTACACGCCTTTCAGCCGAGTGACCGTGCAGCAAAACAATACAAAACAAAAAAACAGTACTTCTTCATATCTAAACTCTGTAGTTTAAAAAATGGTTTAGTTAATTATTTTTATGAGGTCTATTCAAAATGAAACTTAGCTTTGACTTTGATAGAACTGGTCTTGAACACATTAAAATCATACTCCATATTAAATCCAACAACTTCAATATTGTTACATTATGAACAGTCAATATTTACAGATGGTTGGTTGGAGAGATTAAGTGTAATCTAATTACTTTGTGATGTTCAGGGTGATTGACTGCAGGTCGTAAAACTGCACTAACAACTGTTTGTCCCCTGCTGCAAATGTTAATCATGTTGACTCTTCATTAGCTGCTCAGTCGCCATATTGGTTCATTTGATTTGTTTTCTGTCTCCAGTACAGTGACTATGTTCGCTACGTGGAGCCCTGCTTCCAGGGAACGCTAGTACAGGCTGATCTGGATAACCGAGAGGTAAGACACACAAGCAGCTCTTGACAAATGGCACATGTGCTCATGGCTGATTAAGTGAATTAACCTCTTGTAACTTAATAATTCCAAGTTATCTTGCTAATACCCTGAAGACAAAGCTTATGCCGTAATCACATCACAGTTAAAACAACCTGCCCTTTAAAGGATTTAACCAGTAAAACCCTAGAGAGCGTATGTGACTTCGGCCTCTGCTAACATATTAAGAATATCAATATTCTTCCCAATTTCCCTTCTTTTCTCCTCTCTTGAATTATTTCCATGTCTAACACCAATAATGTCATTGTTTTATTTTTCTTCTCATCCCTTTGTCCTCCCTTTTTTTTTTAACTTCCCAACACCTGCTCAGTCTGCTCAGTCTCAGTGTGTGTGTGTGTTTATTTGTTGTAAGTATGCCCTACTTTCACTCCCCTCCACATCATGGCAGTTTGGGTGAGGTCGCCGGCTGCTGACAATTTTAAGTTGGTCACATGACCTGTCAGCAAGGGATCTGATTGGGTGAATACATAGGATATTCTGTAGCAGAATGGGCTTACAGATGTTGGCTGACACACTTGCACAAGAGGGAACGCACATGTAGAGGAAGACAATCATCAGTTTTGCAGTTGTTATACAAGAGTTCCAATATTCCTACATAACCATTCATTTTTAGTCCTACTGAAAGTCCCACTGGGTCACTTTTTCAGTCTTGTTCAGCTTTAATTACTGGACAGATTACTTAACACAAACCTGCAAGCCAACCATGTTAAAGATGCAGTACACAACATGCCCCAGTGACACAGTACAAATGCACATAAGCAAACAGTCTCATTTGTCAGAATAGCACAGAGCAGATATGTGGGATTAAATGCAATTTGCAATATTGTTGTTTTTTTAATAATACTTCACAACAATTTCAGTTATTTCGAGCATGTTTCCAATCCAATCCAAACCAATTTTATTTATAAAGCACTTTAAAATACCCAGTACAGGACCAAAGTGCTGTACAGAAAATAAGTTAAAAACAATAGAATAAAATAAATAAATAAAACACATAATACATAAAAATTTAAACAGCCCTGTATTAGCAAAACAAGATAAAACAGCATAGAATCAACTAAAAACAACTAAAATAAAAAAAAAACAACAAAAAAAACCAATATCTCACCTGGTGTCAAATGCCAGGGTAAAGAGGTGATTTAAAAACAGGTAGAGAAGAAGCCTGTCTGATCTCTAAAAGGAGATTGTTCCACAGTTTTGGAGTCACTTTTTTTGACTAAATGTTTATATTTAAATATATTTTACAGCACATAAAACCAGTTTCACTACGCTTGCAATTATTCTTATTGTTCTAATTATTTACTATTCACATGCACAGACACAAGAGCTCCTTTTACGTGCTATTAATAGCTGCAGCCGTGTGCAGTGGTCGTGCATGTAGATGTTTGATCTGGGGTTGTATGTGGCTTTGCCAATGCATAGAGACAATAGCAGTTAGCAGCAGTTTTTGTTCTCTTTTAGTATTTGACACCAAAGAAAGCACATTTCCTTTTCAGTTTTGTCATGATAAGTGTTTCACATTAAAATTTCACTTCTTCTTAAAACCGCATTTTCATATACAAGTGACTAGTTAGAGAAGTGTTTATATCCATCCTTGTGCTATGCAAGATGCAACATTTTACAGGGTTTGTCTTTTATAAAAGAAGTTCATGCACACTTACAGCTTTTTAAAACTGAGTAAAACACTTTTACATGGTCATTCCTCCTCCTTATATGTGCATGTGAATCTGTCTTTGTTTGTGTGTTGATTAATCTTGATTACCTTCTGGTGTTGCAGTAGCTTTGGTGTTAGTGGTCAGTGTGCCAGGAAGCCGGGGATAATCTCTCTACTGCGCTCTCTTCTCTATGTCTCCCTCGCTCTCTTTTTTCTGTTGTGACTAATTCGGCTGCGTTTGCCCGAAGGGAAGCGCATTGGCTCACTGACTGTTTCTGTGTGTTTACTTTTCTGGGTTTCGCTCCAGCATTTCAAGCTTTTGGTGGAACAGCTTCATGTGAAAGGAGAGGGCAAAGTAAAAAAAGCAATGAAGGAGTCTTTCAGGATTCTCAATGAGGTTTGTCTTTCCTTGCCACAATCATAGCAACTGCTACCCCTTGGCCGTAATAAAAGCGAAGCAAAGTTATTTTGGAATTCGTACCTCCACAATACACAGAGCTTGAGTGCAGATTTTTAAAACTGATTAAACTGGATGTGCATATTTATGTGTTTAGGCTACTGCACTGGGGCAGGGCAGCCTGTGTAACCAGGCAATCATGCTGATAACAGACGGAGCCATGGAGGACTTCCAAGATGTTTTTCAAGAGTTTAACTGGCCGGAACGACGGGTATTATAAAGACCAGCACAGACAAATATCATCCTTTAAAAGCTGTAGTAGCTGAGTATTAAATTAGCGTGGCTTGTCACGCCGTACTACATATAGCACTTGACTTTCTCTCCAGGTTCGAGTGTTCACCTATCTGATTGGACGGGAAATGACGTTTGCTGAAAATGTCAAATGGATTGCCTGCAACAACAAGGGTAAAGCCCAGTGTCTTTAAATTTGATGGCTTTGTTTGTGTTGTCACATTTGTTTGTACTGACAAATCCTTCATAATCATTACAGGAAGACAGCAACAGTAATAAATTGAAGATTAAAGAATATTTTTTTGTAAAAAAGAATAATTTTCTGAATCTTACGAAACCCCTGGTGCTCCCAAAAGAGGTGTGCTGGCCCTGTGGTGATTCCAGGTGGCACTATGAGGAACTAAGTATCAGGTGCTGCCCTCTTGTGAATTACAAGGCATCATGCAGCAGCTTAGGAAATAATCACATTAGCTCCTTCTAGCATATTAAAATCCATGGCTAAATAACTGATAATCAGCACAGATACACTGCAAACATATCCCTGGCCAAAAATGTCATAACTGTGTCTCTATAACAGGTGCAATCCATTTTGTTGCATAAACTGATAGTTGCTTCTACTAGCAGGCAGATATCTCTCAAACAGATATTTTGTTGCTGTTTTCTTGCAAACAGCTTCTGCTTAAACGTTCTGGATGCAGATTCAGTTTGCTTAATAGTGTTTGCACCAGTGCTCTTGGGAGATGTTACCAAGGGGAAATATGTTGCACATATTCACTTGGCAGAGCTTCAGTAGCCTGTTGTCGCTGAGCAGCTTCACTGCAGGTATCCCACTGACGTCACAGTCTCCCACTTGTAGAAATGCCACAAACCTTAGACTAAGCCAAGCTTTAAAGCACGTCAAAAACATATTTGTATCAGTCGGAGATTCAAGCTGGGATATTTGTTTCATGTTTTGGAATACAGGATGTTCTGATGTCTGATAAATGAGTTTCTTCTTCTAAATTTAATACCCAAAGGTAGAAACCTGAGTTAAAAATAATAGGTGAACAATTTATTTTCCAAAAACTAAAAAAAAAACGCTTCTCAGTTCTCCATCTCAGTAGTTTATGATACGAGTAGTTTATGATACACATACGTGTGTGTCTTTTCTGTGTCTTCTGCAGGTTATTACACACATGTCTCAACACTGGCTGATGTCCAGGAAAACGTTATGGAGTACCTCCATGTTCTGAGCCGGCCAATGGTCATCAACCACGATCATGACATCATTTGGACTGAGGCCTATATGGACAGTGTGGTCAGTCTGCTTGTCTTATTATTGTTGTTTAATATTATTATTTTTGTCC